GAAAAGAAATTAAATGAAATCATAAATGCACCTGAATGCATCTTTTCTGCGTTGTTTATTCTGTTCTCATGTCTGCACAGCGAACATAAACAGCAATACCCATACCAATACTTTTTATCAGTGAACCAGTAAATCAGGCTTTTCTCGTCTTAAAGGTTAAGTGAATGAATTGATTGTAGTTAGTTGTTAGTCGTTAGTCTCCTTGGCATAGCTCTACACTCTTTCTAAGCAAACCAGAGTTGAATCGGTCCCCTCAGTGTATTAAACTTTGCAAGGCTCATAAGTGGTTGTGAATATACGTATACTTGCATAATCGATATATAATCTATGCTCCATGTCATTTTAGGCTTCTTGTTATCATCCTCATAATATTCTTCTTGTCACCGGCGTGTTTTGCTGTCTGACATGCATCTACCCTTGTTTTAACCCGGCCTCACTACCAGCCACATGTCTGGCCTTGTATCACTGTTCTGAATCTTTTTTTATTCAACCAATTTTTGGTTGTACATTTGTGTGCATTTATAGTGAAGGACTTCATCTACTCATCTACACACCAGCATTCAGCTTTGCAGACAGCTCCTGATTGGAGAAGCAGAGGAGACGCACGCATGAGACGCGTTCGTCTATTGATGCTAATTCCCACAACCACCACTACCGATCTGATGAGACTGGAGAGTTGTAAGCCATTTTGCCATATTGTAGAATAGATGAGACTGAAGCTGTCTTGCTTACACTTTTCCAATCGTTTCAGATGTTAACGAATTACTTGAGCAGTGGTTAGGGAGTAAAACGAATAACAAACATGCTGCTGCAGAGATGAACTACAAGATTTAATCAGTGTGTGAAGTGCAGAATAAACAGGTACCATGTGAAGTTTCTCAGTGCATGCAAATTTATAATTGAATCACACTAATCACTAAAGAGGTTCCACACTCTCACCAACACACACACACACACACACACCAACACAAAGTTCTGAATCCTCCTCGTTAGACCAGATATCCTCATCCTCCCACAGTACTAGATTGGAGAAAACCCAGCAACCCTGCCCCCACGGCAGGAGCCCACCTACCCTGCAGTCCCGAAGCACCCCCAGCTCCCAGCAGCACTTACGTCTGGACTTACATGGCGGCGGGCTGAGCCCTGTCCCACTCCTGTTCCGGTTGTGTGTGTGTGTAAGTGTGTGTGAGAGCGAGCCTCCCATCAGCACCAGGCCCATCTCCTCTGCGCTGCAGGGGAACACCTCCACGTAGCGGCTGTTCGCCCCTCGCTGGCTGGACATCACGTGTTTGTGGAGCCGCTGTGAGGCCTGAAGTGCTCGCTCTGCTGAGGTCATCTGGATGAAGCAGTCGCCTGACGGACGCCCCTGAACACAGACACGGTCGAATTATTTTTGCAACATTGTGTCAGAGAGCATTCGAGTCTATGGGTGTGTCAGTGCGGTTTTTGCATGTACCTGCTGGTTGAGGACCATGTGCACGCCATGTGGTCTGATGTCGTGTGTAAACTCGCCCAGGAAGGTGAGGATGTCCTCAATGCTCGCTGTGTAAGGCAGCCCCCTCAGCCTAAGACAGTCCCTCAAACCACCCGGAGGAGGAAGAAGAGACACAGCAGGTAGAACTGACACCAAGGGGGCAGGGGCCACGGGGATCAGAGGGGCTGATGAGTACCGGTTCAACACCTAAAACACACACACAGTTTAAAAACAACATACAATGCCTGAAGCAAAGACTGTCAATGAAACAGAACGTGCTGGACGTCCTTTTTCCTCTTACTCCGAAATAAACACCTACGCATTATGATACATTAATGCTTATGTATAGTTAAAAAAGATGGATGCATAAAGCCACCTTTCAACACACATCTTGTGCACTTTGTATAAAGGAGTTTCCGTGTCAGATGGGAACTGGCCTATTGCCAGCGCAACACCCGCATGTTTGCATTTCTGGAGAGAACCAATGAAACCTCTTAGTCCGTCATAGATAGAAGCATGAGAAAAGGCCTCTGCGTAGATATGACTGTGGGCGTACACTGATCTTTCAGCATAGATATGAAAATTAGTCCATGTGTTCATCACACAAGAGAGGAGCGTTGGAAGAAAGAAAGAGACAGTTGCAATCCATCTCGTTATGCAGGTTCCCACCCTTAAGCTCTAAACCAATAATACTTCCTACAACTAACTGTGGAAAAAGGAGCACACCCACACATTGTCATTATAAGCTGTGCACACAAACAAACTTTTTTGTCCTAAAAAGACAAACAAGATAAAAATGAGGTAGATCAACTAACCTTAATCCGAAAATGACAAAGCAAATATAGAAAACTATTGTCAATTTAAAACTAAACACACAAATAAATCCACTGTGCAGTACACAGTGGCACGAAGCGCACCCACATGTAGGCAGACACCCTGACGTACCTGTTGGACCTCTGCTGCCGTGCTCTTAAACAGCTCGATGTATCTTCTCCCCAGGATTTCCTTGTGTTTCCTCAGAGCACACTGGGCGTGTTCCTCGCAGGCAAACAAGACAAACGCATCACCAGTGGGACGACCGTCTGGGTAGTGGACAAATAGGATGCCATCCCTGCCTCCACTGACCGGACACGTCTCTTTAATGCCGTCTTCCGGAGAGAAGAAGGCGAGCACCTGCTCGTGTGTGGCAGTGAAAGGAAGACCCCGCATCCTCACTATGATCTGGTCCTCACGGGACAGGAAAATTGCTACCTCATTGGAGGTACCTGGCACACACACAAGGACACAGACACACCCACTTGACCATAAGTACATAAGACGATCACATTGTAGATTGTAGAAGCATTCAGTTTTCCTGGTGTAATGGTTTGGTGTGTTTTCTATGGCACTGTTTGCACTTCTATAAGTCAGTGAAGCTAAACTTGACTTTTATCCCTCCACCGTGTTCTATCCTTGTAGCACAATAATCAAGCAAGTTGAATTGCGGAAAAAGGGGAATGAGGTAAGTTTACAGTAAATTGAATTAATATTAAAACGCATTGAGCAACTTCTTAAGTGTGCAGGTCAAATGATTAAATAGAGCTTGGACATCATTGCAGTTATTGTCATTCTGGGGTAAAAGATATCTAGCTTATCTCCTATTGGATACACAAAGATTTCTGATCTTCAAACATCTAAATGCATTCATGAAAATAGATGAACACAAGCTCCTACATGCAACAATAAGTCTGGGTAATGTAGTTGAGCGAGTATATATTTCAATATGGTGAAGTGAACCTGGAATCTTCAAACCACAGCGTGTTCGTCCTGCTGGAATCTATTTATTCTAACAACTGTACATTTTGTTCAAAACACCAAAACATATACCCAGGTTGCTGGTGGTAATAAATTCTATGTATCATGTTGTTAGCTGTCCAATGTTTTATTGTCTCACCTCCAGCTATCTTCAGGAAGTCCTCTCCTGTTGCTTTGTAAACCTGCCAGGAAAGGAGTTGGTGAAGAATGATTATCATCATCAGGTGTACGAAAGGAAAACATGTAGGTAACTAAATTAAATCTCGGTGATGTGGCTAATTTTATTAATTTATAATGTCTAGGTGGGTTCAGACAGGTTACCTCTATGTATCTCATGCCCATGTGGTGTTTGTGTCTCTGCAGAGCCAGGTCTCTGTGTTCTTCATTGACAAAACGAACGAGAGCTTCTCCGTTCCTCCTCCCCTGAGCATTCAAACACAGTGCCGCCCCTCCTCTGTACAACACAACATAAAGAGCCTTACAGCACTCTGTAGACCATAAGTCAACAGCAATGGAC